AATAGTAACTGTAGTAATAATAATAATAATAATAATAATAACAATAATATCAGTGATATTAGCAATGGCAGTCAAGCAGGACCATGGCAGGAGGCACCACCAGGATCCATGAAAGAGTATGCTCCGTTCACCTCTCCTGCATCAATCCTAATTTCGAAAGGCAGAATATATGGCCTATTGTGCTCAGCTTTTGTTTAGAGGATGTACAGGTGGGAAAGTATTGATATTCCATACTTGTTCAATAGAGCTCAGTCCTGAGCTTTTCATTCTCTTTCCAACATCCACCCTTGATACTGAACTAAGCTCTTGGGGGATGGCTGGACGAGTTTTGCATACAAATCCATGTGCATATGCTGTTCTGTGTACACAAGCTATTTGGCAGATCATTTTGCAAGGGTTAAATAAGTTGTTAATAGTGACATTTTCTAATACAGAAAACCCGCCCAAACACAGAAAACCCACCTAAATCCAGAAAACACAACCAAATAGAGAAACGTCTCATTTCGTTGTGTTCTATTAAAAAGTAAAATGGAATATAATATTCATAGGTATGTTTTAATTAATGTTTAATCACCTGAAAATAAGAATCATTGTGTTTTTTATTACCTTAGAATGAGACGTTTTTATCTCCAGAAGGAGTTGGTCCTCTTCCATGGAGTCCACCACGTTGAACCTCCATGTTTCTACAGTACCCCAGAACAGACAAACCAAACTCTGGCTTTAGATTGGATTATTGGCGTTATATAACTTCACCACTAGATGCCACTGAATCCTACACACTGGTGCTTAAAATGTTGTCAAAAGAAGTATCTGAAGCAGGACATACAGAGCATCAAAGGAGAGTACAACTCTCTACTAAAAGCCAACAACAAAACCAGTGGGACAGATATGAATTTGTGATGGTGGATACTGATGATTCCCATCTGTGACTTTTTACATTTGACAATTTTTTCTGTCAAAATGACCAAATGTTGTGTTTCCCAAAAATAACAAGCACATTACAATTTTACACAGAGTTCTTTGTTGACCTAGTACTTGCTGTAGTTATGGTCACACAGCACAGTTTACTGTGCAACAAGGAATTATTAGCGACACTATCGGTGTGCTCACTGTTTGACCAAATAAAGTCAACTTGTTTACAACCTCTTTGATCATCAGACTTGTTGCCCTTCTGAAGCTGCTTTTAGCAATTTCACCACATTCTCAAATTGTACCCTACCAGTACATATTATTGTTCAGTCACATAAGGTTTCATTTTTGATCAATTCACTGTTTCAGACTAAAATTAAAGTAGTATTGAACATTAAATTACTTTTAATTTTACAGATCTATCGGCGTTGCTGGCTGGTGTTCAAAAAGTCATCCAGTAAAGGACCTCGTCGTCTGGAGAAATACCCTGACGAGAAGTCTGCCTACATCAGAGCATGTCCTAAGGTAAGTTTGTGTGCATGCGTGTGTGTATGAGACAGGTTCTGCAGGAGAAAACTAAAGATAAAGAGTTGACAGACACACACTAACAGGATGAAAGCAGTCTGCCTTCACATTAAAGTCTGAGCTCAGCGAAAATCAACAATCATTCTTCTTCTCTTTTCCTTCACCCTCTCTCTTGCTCAGAACTCACTCATCTCTCATCTCTCATTCTTCATCATCATCACCTCTCCTTCACCTGACCTTTTTCGTCTACTTTCATACTCCTTTACTTACACACAAGTGAAGTTATAGAATGACTTTGAGAAGTTTGACAGAAGGTTTCACTTTTGTACAAAACAATAGTTTTATTCCAGACAAAGCCCTGAACTGGCCCCACAGACAAATATACAAAAAAATACAGTTTACCAGAGATGTGAGTCAACTCAAGTTGAATTTGATAGAAACTAAAAAAGACTTGTAACTCGACTTAAACCCCAGTGACTCGTGACTTAATTTTGATTTAAGCCTTTTGACTTTCCCCAAGCCCCCAAAGATTGAAAAGTTATTTGTTTCCCTTAATTTTTTAAAACAACTAATGTTAACGTTATTCATTCCCAGCAAGTCAACACTTAATTCCCCAGATCCACTTTGTTTGTAGCTTAACTACTATATACATCAGGACTGAGACTTTGCGAATATGTGGTCTTCAGACTTTTTGCCGGAAAGCACTTTGTGGCAAAAGGACCGTAGGAAGTCAAAGTAGGCTATACAGTATAGATGCAGAGTATAGGAAGCAACACAGTGATTGGAAGATGCGGTGGCTGGGTCAGTTAAGGATAGAGTTCATATACAGTATAGAACAATGATACCAAAGACAATTTCATTTAGTTTGTTCTGTTGTTGATGGCGTTAGATAGAGAGCGCACTATGACCTATTTAGGTCTTGGGACAAAGATTTGAGACAAAGACTTGAGACTTACTTGTCACTTGCAAAGTTATGGCCTCGTTTCTGCACTTTAGTCAATGTGATTAAGGTATGTTCTGACTGAATGTGATGAAACTCTTCTTACTTAATTTCTTAAGTCTTAGTGCTCCAACTGCAAATCAACTAACATCATCATACTTGATGCTGAACAATTCCTTGATACTTTAATCAAACTCTATGATTTACCATTTTCTACCTTAATGAGTGTGATAGCTGCTAGCTTGTTAAGCTTTATATTTTGGGGTATATTCAGGAAAAAAGTGTCAGTTATTCCTCTCCAATGATCCAGCTAGTCAGATCATCCTCTCAAACTCTATTCGATTCATCATTTCAGGTTAGTTTTATATATCCATTTTAATGTGTCACAGTTATTTCTCACAAGTGGATTATACTGAGGTGTCATCACTAATCAAACAATAACCAGTAGGTTAATCAGCCTTGATTTCCACTTTGTTAAACATGTTACCTTAAATCTGTTGCCTAGGTGACAGAGATTAGCAACGTCAAGAATGTCACACGGTTACCTCGAGATACCAAGCGGCAGGCGGTGGCCATTGTCTTTACAGATGACACCTCACGCACCTTCACCTGTGAATCAGGTAATGTATGAACACACACATTTACTTATGTCACTTGGGAAAATAGATTTACATTAATTTCCAAGAGACGTACCCAAAACCCTATCCCTAACCCCTACTTGCCTAACCCTAACCCTAACCTTAACCGCTGACCCAAAAATCCACTTTTTCCAAATTGAGGACATGGATTTTGCCCCTAGTTTGACAAGCCGTCCCCAATTAACTGGTCTGACATGTGTTCCCAAGAAGTAGAAGTAGAAATCAGATTACGCACACATAGATTAACAGCTCTGTATTGACTCTAAACTTACCTTCAGAATTCCACCACAACCAAACACGTCCTACTAAGTCTTTTAGTCTAGTGTTTGGTATGTTATTGTGGAATTAATACCACTTTTACACACAAACCCTGTGTATGACACGGATAATGAACACAAATGCCCAGGTTGATGCATTTACGGGTTATCATTGTTCACACCAGATCCAGAAATCCAATGATAGTCCCACAAGGTTGATTTACAGTACATCAAACATTTGGTGGACAGAGCTGGAGTCAGGACATATTTATCCTAGTTTAGCATAAAGGAGCAGTAGGCACTGTATACAAATGGTATACAATATTACAAAAACAGTACAGAATTTACAAATGCATAAAAAAACAATAGGACCTGTACAGCATTAACCCAGGTACATTGCTGCATTATGTGGTGGGTGACATCTCACATAATGGCTTAGTTATTATAGTTAAGAGGACAGGTTTTCCCAGTTTAAGTTGTTGCATAATGTCTTTGATCAACAATAGTAAAAGTGGGAGCCTGTTTCCAGTTCATTAATCTGCGAGCTAAGGATGCATTTTAGAAAGCTTGACCTTTGAAAAGTGGAGACGATGCAACACTCTGAACTGTATAAAATGCATGCCTGATACATATACATGCTGAGTGCGGTTGTATTAGATCTAATATAGTTGCGAATTTGTAGAAATTAAAGAATTGGGTTTGAAGGAGTTTGAGTTTATTTTATTTCAGTTATTGAAAAGAGGGAAACACACCATTAATATCATTCTCATTCAATATCGTGCCATTACGTGTCCATAATTGGAATAAGGAAAATTTACAATGTGATATTTGGGGAGGTTACATACTAGAAGTATTTGTTGATGAACATCGGTTAATCCATTTATTCAGCACTTCTGTGTAGCATCTCCAGCAACAGTGCAAGTTGCCAGACTGGTGAGGTATTAATAGAGGCCTCTGTGGAGCTACGATGGAAACGAAACGATAAGTAATTTCCCCCTGGTATTATTAAAGTATTTCTGATTCTGATCTGATTCTGAAACAAATCTGGCAACCTCACCTTGATGACAAGAAATAGTTCTAGAACGTAACTGATTTACATGAACTATTTACAATATAAAACTATTAACATTATTATTAACATTATTTCAAAGTCCAGAATTAACTTTTATACTTCTACATGCAAGGTTGTAGGTTGTGGGTTGTTGATGTGGCTGCGCCCCTATACCACATTGAATTCCCACTATACCACCTGCACCACAGCTGTAGTTTAACCCCCTGCCATCAACTACACACATTGTTTGTCTTGACCTGTGCACTTCTGCTCTGCACCAACAACTGTTCGTACCCAGCACCATTGATTCACGAGACAAAATTGTTTTCAGTGTACAAATCATACATTTTGAACATCTGCCAGTATTTCGCTGTCATTTCACCATTTGACTTCTTTGTTTCAAGAAGGAGCTTGATTCTAGTAAATGTGATCCCTCTCTCTCTCTTTTCAGAGTTGGAGGCAGAGGACTGGTTTAAGACACTGTCAATCGAGTGTCTGGGCACACGGCTCAATGACATCAGCATGGGAGAGCCTGACCTCCTGGCTGCTGGAGTGCAGTGTGAACACACAGGTAATTGACATACAAAATCAAACATTATTCTACACTAAATCAGGGATTTCAAACTACAATTTCTAGCCCTCCACCCCCTTCCCTCTGGTTCACTACATGATGTCAAAAATTGTATATAATCCGACCTGAGAGAAAAAATAAATATATTGTAGTTATTTCATATCAGTTTAAACAATCCCTTTATATACAATTGAAATAAAAACACAATTCTACTGTCAGCACAAAGTTGATAAGAATAGAGTAGGTTCCGGACCTTCATTTGTTGTGTGGCTACAAATAAAGATGATATAAAATGAGGATATAAAAATGCATTTTTTGTTGAGTATTGCGCTTTCTTGTAGTACTTGAACATTGAAGTGGCCCTGCTATGAGATGTCAATACCAGCAGTGGCCCCAAGCCAAATTGAGTTTGAAACCTCTGCTCTAAATGTTATACACACAAAAGGGGTACACAAGCTCTGGTCTGTTTAACTTAACAAAAAAAACCCAGGAACATCCTTTAAAAGTCCAGTGTGTAGGATTTAGTGGCATCTAGCAGTGCACATGGGCACTGAAAACAGGGGTGCTGCTGCACCCCCTAAAATCTGGCATATGAGGACCATTCATTCATAGGAATGTTCAAAACGAAATGAATGAGGAGTGTAGTGTTCTGGAGGAAGCCTGCAGGTTTGGCAGAGTAGGCGAAGACGTGAGCCACTCCTGTTTGCTGGCTCGGGGACCGCTTTTCAGATATTGAGTCATAGAAGACAGGGGACAAAAATGATGATCAATGATCTTTTTCTATCCCTATCAGTCTTTGAATGTTTAAGTAATAAAGAGAAGTGGTGAGGGTTAATTGATACATCAGCAATAGTGAGGTCATGCGAAGGATCAAAAGATCCTGTGCGTGTAGTGAATTCGCCACCTCTGAGAAATCCATAAAAGCAGTGAGAAAGACAGTTTCTAATAATAAATCTGTGTATTGACCAAAGCACCCATCCCTTAAGTAAGTTATTAGTTTTTTCAAGAGTGAAAGAGTGAAAGGAAGACGAATATCATTGCCTTGAGGTTTCTCTTTCTTAAGGCCATTTAGCAGAAGACGGACAGATGGGTTTCCAAGCAGGCTGATGGTGGATGGATCCAAACAGCGCAGATGGAACTGAATACCTGCGACAAGGCCTTTTATGGAAGATGGCTGCATTTTACAGGATTCAAAACAGTGAACTCCAAAGGCGCATATTATGGATATATTGACGAGCAGAACTGCTGCAGAGAAGGTGCACAAAAGGAGGTGAAATAAGACCATGCAGAGTCATACATCTTAACCAAGTGAGGCGCCTTACAAATCTATAAATGAATGGAACTGAAGAACGCCCTTTGTTAATAATGTTGGCAACAATTGGGTAAATTTCCATAAAGCAGTAGAAGAGGCATTAGCTGGCAAGGACGACAGTTCTTTTGGCCATATGTCTGCGAAACACTGATTTTTAAATTCCCCCCAAAACCAACGGAAGGGGCTGTGTCTGTGTATAATTTAATGGCAAATGATGATTCTAGCTGCTCATTGTAAAAGAAGGAGATGCCATTCCATTTATCACACAGAAGAGACCAGATCTGGAGCTCAGATCTGCAGCCCTCATCCAAGCTAACCATATCATGGAATTTCTCTACAGATTTCAAGAGGTCCAGAAGCCTGGATATAAAGGAGACATTTGCCAATTGAATGTTTGAGGGAATTAGCTGAGCCGTCAGCTGATTGTGTATAGTTTTCCAATAGGAAGCATAGTAGGAATCAACTGAGCCATCTGCATGAACTAACGCCGTGCTTCATTTCTAGAATTTGTGTAAAATGTTGTTAATAACTGTAGGCTACAAATAATCCTGTCCATTCAAATTAATGCAAAAACCCTGAATGTCATGCATGTAGCATTTAGTATGATATCATTATATAGACTGACTTTCTCTTGGCACCCCCAACTCTGACTGACCTCCAGTGTCCATGGCGGTGTAGTTGCAGATTGCAGATGAAATGCAATAAAAACTAACTTAGAAACATGTCAGTTTTGGTGGCCTCCATGGAAAGACACCCACAGCTTCTGTAGATAAAAACAAGCGAAATACCTGGAATCCAGAGGTCCTCCTAAATGTTACACACTGGACCTTTCAGAAGACCTTAATAATAAATGACAGTGAGCAAAGAAACAGCACCAACCTACAACTTAACTTTTGTCTCTTGTGACATTTCAGAAGCAGCTCAAACTACACTGAGAACAAGTTCTTGACATTGTTCCTGTCATTCCTCAGAGCGTTTCAACGTGTTCCTCCTCCCCTGTCCCAACTTGGACATCTACGGGGAGTGCATGATGCAGATCACCCATGAGAACATTTACCTGTGGGACATCCACAACCCTCGCACCAAGCTGGTCACCTGGCCGCTCTGCTCCCTGCGGCGCTACGGACGTGACGCCACCCGCTTTACCTTCGAGGCCGGACGGTGAGACCAGGAGAGGGGTGGCTGGGAGAAATGTTTGATCGTAGATAAATACAGGCTACACCCATCATAGGTTGCCACACACACACAAGTCATGAGTTAGAGTCAAGTAAGAGACAACACATCCTTTGTTATAGCAGTGTGGTGACTTGTATCACTGGGCATAGTGATGTGTTCTTGTTCAGTCATCGTTAGTCAGTTCCAAGGAACCCCTCTCTCTCCTCTCTCTTTCAGGCAGCACAGCACACACACACAGCACACACACACACATAAACAGCATGGTTGTGTGTGGCTGAGTCCCATGAAGAGATTGATTGAATAGATTAGACAATGAATCAATGCTGGGCAAGACCTCCTTATCTCCTCCTTTTTGATAAAACCCGACGAGCTATGATTGGGTCAGCATGCAGATAATAGTGTGTGTGTGTGTGTGTGGTGTGTGTGTGTGTGTGTGTGTGGTGTGTGTTGTGTGTGGTTGTGTGTGTGTGCGTGCCGTGTGTGAGGTCTGAAAACCAAAACCAAAAACAGCAAGAAGGGCCTCCGTCTGTGGATTGTGGTTGTACTGCACACCTGTCTCATTTGTAATGTATTGATGCGCAGCTAAGTTACAAATTTTTACTGAACATTTTACCTTTGACTAGCCTCACAAACATGGACAAATAGATGTGCATTAACTAAAACCTAAATAGTAAACAGAAGCATAGTTGAAGTTAAGTTAAGCAGTTTAACTTACTATAGCCTGGCAGTAGTAAGTCAAAGCTGATGTCAAAGGACACAAACCACTTAACCACTGTAAAGATAGCAAAATGGGCTTTATCTTTTAGCTGTTCAACAAGGCAGTGGGTCTTGCTCTAGATAAATAATCTAGATTGCCTGATGTTTAAAGCTGTATAAGGTCATTTTTATAAAAGTAACTATTTGTCATATTTGCTGGAACTTTCACTATATCCTGACAGTAGTACATGGGACATCTTTAAAAAAAAAATCAGGTTCCTCCTCCTCCTCCTAGTGCTCCTAATGGTATTTTGCATGAATCCAACAGGCCTTAAACGAAAACAACCAATCAGATC